TACCCCCCCCCCCCAGGAGGCTCTGCCAGCTCCCTAGGGCTGCGAGAGGGCCCATGGGGCTTTGTTTGTGAGTTGTGCCCCATGGGGCTTGTCCTGGCATGGTCTGCTATGCCCAGGCTCTCTGGGAAGCATTGTAGACTTGTGGCACGGCTGGTTTCCAGCCTGGGGCTGCACACCATGGGTGTGCTGATGGCATGAATCTGCATCTACTGCTCCTGCCCTGCAGCACCCACACCCTGCTCCAGTCACTGCTTCAGCTCAGTGATGTGAGTGGTGCCAGCTGGCTGTGGCAGGGTCCTTATGGTGGGTGCTGCCAAGGAGCTGGTGTGGTCATCACTGCTGCTGGGGGCTGCATTGCTCAGATACAGCCCCACTGTTCTGCTGCCCTGGCACACTTCTATGGCATACAAAGCAAGAGTGGAGGGTCTGCCTGTGCCACCTCTCTGGCACCAGCCTAAACTTGGGGCAGCAGCTCCTGCCCCTAAACATGGACATAGCAGCTCCTGCCTCAGCCTGTCCTGGCCTGGGACCACGTGAAACCATGTGGGCCACCTTGGTGCTGAGATGCGCTCAAACAGTGGGATAACTCTGGGCTGGGGCAAGGCAGGGCAGGACCGGAGTGCTGCTGCTGGGGCCTGGCCCCACGGCCGGATGGGGGCATGCTATTTTCCTTAACAGGGACACTTGTTGAGTGCAAACCCCTTCCTGCTGGGGTTAGAAACAGCACGCCACAGCCCAGAGACTGCCCATGCCAAGCACAGGCCCTTGCACTGGGGCAGCACATTGGTATAGGGTGGCAGTGTGGCCTTCCTTAAGGAAACCAGGGCCACTGCGGTGCCAGCAGCCCAGGATGGCCTTGTCTGCTAGCTCATGAACTGGAGAAAAGGGCTTTTGTCTTGGCTCTTCAGGACCATGTCAGAGCACACAGGGAAGCTGCTAGCTCTCCCTTCCCCTGGGCGCAAGCAGAGGGGCAGCCCCTGGATCACCTCCACCCATTTGCAAGATGCGGGCAACAGCAGGGCACGGGGTCTGTCTCCACGGGGCTGTGTGCCGGCAGTGGTGCCACCACCAGCAGGACCTGGCCAGGGCTGTGGGTGCCCCGAGGGGGGCTGCACACCCCCATGGGCACCACATGGCCCAGGAGGGGCTGCTCAAGGCCATGTGGCCCCAGGGCTGTCCTCACATGGCTCCTATTAGCATAGCTGCTGTTCCCAGCCCTGACCTCGAGGCCAACCCCGAAGGCAGAGTGCGGGGACAGGCGAGGGATTTGGCTGGAGACCCTGGCCCGGGCCTGGCTCTGGAGCTGGGTCCAGGCTGTGCTGCAGGCCAGGGGCACCCCGGCAGGTCAGGGCAGGGCTGGGATGGGAAGGGAGGCGCCGGGGCTGGGCCGGGCGGGATCCCGCGCTGGAGCTGATGTATGGGCAGATGTATCAGATCGCACAAGATAAACAAGCAGTGAATTTCATCAGGGCCCATCATGGCTTTAATTTGGCTGCCTAATGAGTCAGATCCAGCCGCGCAGATAAAAGTTGTCAGAGCCGCAGCCCTAATGAATTTCTTGCCACTTGTAATCAAGGCAGCTTGTCTGAGGGGGATGATTAATGGGCCCCAGAGGAGCTGCCGTCCCTCGGCTTCCATTCCCGTTAATGCAGTCGCCAGGAAATTAACCAAACCCAGCATCGGGCTGGGGCTGGGGCCGGGGCTGGGGCCAGTGTGGGGGCACTGATGTGCACCGTGCAGGAGAGACGGGACAGAGAATGAGGGGCAGACAAGGGCACAGGTGGGGAGGGCTGGGACTGGGATGGGTTCCACAATACAGGCATACACAGTTGGCACGCAGAGATGAGTTAAGGGCCTGGTAGAGGGGCTGGGGCCACCATCTGCAGCCACCAGTGTGGCAGCCCTCTGCCACGAGAAGGGCATGGGAAGGAGGCAACAGGGGTCTGGAGGGGATTGCTGAGGGATACCTGTGGCAGGTGGGATGCTGGGCGGAGAGCGTGGTGTCTTGGCAACTCCCTTCCTTACAGCACCACCACTCAGGCACCCAGGCCCAGTCCCAGTGTAGTGCCAAGCCAGGACCCATGCATGGCAAGGGGGGAGACACGCTGGAGCCCCCAGCCAGTGGAGAACCAGCAGCACTGGGGCCTTGCTCGGCCAGAAGCTGGGGGAAGCATGTGAGGTCAGGGATGGTAGAGCAGAGACCAGATGACCCCCAGTCTTCTGCAGCAGTCTTTTTGCCATAGCAAACCATCCAGGGTCCTTGCTCACCAGGACAGCCCACCATTCCCTGCCCATCTCTGCCTCCTCCCCCACCCCCCCCCAGTTTCAAACTCACTCTACTGTGCACAGGGACCAGCTGGCCTCAGCACTTCTGACTCAGCATGTCCCCTGCCCAGTGCATCCCTCTGCTGTGCCCATCTCTGATCCCGCCAGAGCCATGCATCCCTCTGGGGCCAAGTCCCTGCATTGTCCCACAGTGCCTGGGGTTGACACATCTCCTCTCCCCATCCCAGCACTCTGCCATGTCCACCAAGGAGCCCAGTTCAGTGCAGGACTGCTGTTACCAACTCCCCAAATGGAGGAGAAAGGGCTGAATGTCAGTCTGGGCTGGAACCCCACCAGACCCCACAGTGTGGGCAACAAGCAGATCGGAGGCTGCCCTGGAGGCCCAAAAGGCAGCACACAGAAAAGCTGGGTTGGTAGGAGGTGGATTGTTTTATTGGCCTTTATCTCCTTGGCTGCAGATAACACACACAGGGCAACTCATGGCAAAGAAACAGTATATACAGAGTGTCCATATAAATATTTCCAATGTACATTTTATACACAAGTGACAGAGGCGTTCCACAGCAGTGTCCAAAGCCTTGGGGTTCCAGCACTCAGCTGCAGGCTTGGCCCAAAACCAAAGGGAGATACTCGTCTCCTCTCTTCTCTTGCTCAGCCGGAGACCAGCCCCGCCTGGGCAGCAGCGGGAGCCAGCAGGGATGCTCTGATGGAGACACTGTGTATGGCTTTGGGGCTTGAACCTGGAAGGACAGTGATTCTACAGACAGACAGACGCAGCTGGGGATCCCAGGGTGACCATCCTCTTCCCCCTCTAGGTCACCAGGGAGGCTGGAGGGGCCTTTTTCCAGGGGCTGTGTGGGAGAGAAGCTCCCTTTGCATCAGCACGTGGGGAGCAGTACTAGCGACGGGATGCCTCCCTGCAATGCCCAGAAGCGGAGAAGCACAGGGGTGCAGTGGAGAAACATGCACCTCCTGCTGTCCCTGACCTCTCCACTGCACCAGGGACAGCCAGGCCAACCTCCTGTGTTGGAGGGCAGGAGGGAAGTGCCCAAACTGCCCTACTGTTTGGGAGAGCAGGTGCAGCAATCGCCCTCCCCAGTACCACCTGTGTAGGGGAGGGCCACACACCTGAACTGCCTCTCCTCCCCCTGTACCGGTGATGAGAATGGGGTGTACTGGAGCCCCCCATCCCAGTGACTATGAGGGAGCCCCTCTGCAAGCTGACAGTGCTGGGTCTGCACAGCCCCGCCCCCATCTGCTGGGGGAGAGTCCACAGGAACCGGCACAGAGGAGCAGGCGGCTGGCTCCCCGGCCTCCTCCCAGCCAGAACAGGGATCCCGGTGGGGGGCAGGCACAGAGGGTGGCCCGGCTGGGCGGCTCCCAGACACGCTCCTGTGGCCCTGGGCCCCTGGCAGGTCTGGAGGGCGGCTGTGCGGTGAGTGGAGGGCCCGTGAGGAGCTAGACAGCTCTGGGGCTGGAGCCGAGCTCAGCTGGCACCACGGTGCAGGAGTTGTTGTTGGCATTGGTGTTGCGGCGGGGCAGGCTGGGGGTCAGCGTGGTGATGGCACTGTCGCTGGGGCATCCGTGCTGCAGGAGGATGTCAATGCACTCCTGGCTGCCGGCTCCCCGGGCATAGGCCAGCGGGGTCAGGCCCCGAGCATCCCGGCTCTTCACGTCCACCCCGTACTGTGCAGGAGAGAAAGCAGCTGGTCAGTGGCACCCAGGCGCCATAAGGCCCATGGGCACGGGGCTGGTGCAGCAAGAGCACCATCAGGGGCAGAGGGGCTCTGTGGCACTGGGGCGGGCGGGGAGAGGGAGATGGGAGGGTGGGCAGGGCAGTGCCAGCGGGCATGTGGGGGAACCCATGGGAGGGGGATGGACAAGGGGCATCCCAAGACCTGGGAGCGAGGAAGTGCTGCAGTGGGGAAGCACCAGAACAAGGCCAGAAGTGCTGTGGCGGAGGCTGCAGGGTCCTGCCTTACCCAGATGAGTAGCTGCGTGAACACTACGTTGGCCATGGCGCAGGAGAGATGCAGTGCTGTGCGGCCATCTCCATCCCCGTAGGTCTCATTCACTTCCTCCTTGGTGCCATGAGCCAGGAGTGTCACCACGAGGCGCAGGTCATCCTCTACCACAGCCCGCAGCAGCTGCTGCCCCAGCGGGATGTCCGATTGGGGCAGCGGAGCCAGGAAGAGCTTCTGCTCATACTTGGCCCGGATCCAGCGCTCCTTCTCCTCCCTGCCAGATGGGACACTGTCACTGTCACACGTGGGCCAACCTGCCTGGCCCCCATGTACAAAGGGGCATGCGTATCAGCGCTGCCACCTTGAATGCACCCCATGTTAGCAGTGCATGTTTGTCACACATGGGCACCCCTTGCATAGCCCCTGCTGCAGACACCTCCCCTGCTGTGCTCCCCTGTGTACATGGCTGTCACTGGAGCTCTGTGACAGCTCTGTGTCACACTGCTCCGGACACATGCCCAACACATGCTTGTCTCGCTGCATCTCCTTATAGCTCCCTACGTACACTGTGTGCTTACGTCCATGCATGTACAGCAGCAGCGTCCCAGACCCCAGTGCATGGACCGTTTCTGTCCCTTGCTTGTGTGTGGGCCATGGCCAGCGGCAAGAAAAGGTTAGCTGCTGCACACGACAGCCCAGTGCCACGGGAGGCACGTTATCACTGCTGCCGTCTCGCCTGGTGCAAACAAAGGCTGCGGCAGCGTCCGTCCCGCCTGGGGCTGCGGGGCCGGGCAGATCGATGTGTGCTGTGCCGCTGCTATCTGCTGCCATTCTATCCATCTGCATCTGGCGGGCGGCCATCAATGCCCCGCGCGGAGCATGCTCACTCCTGCCGCCCCCTGACCCGCTCTTATCCGTTGATAAGCCACAGAATGGGCTCTTGTTGGGATGAGTGACAGGAGAGTCGCTCCGATAGGGACAGACAAGGGCCTGAAAGGGACGCACCCTTGAGACCCGCACGACGCTGCCAAGCCGTCTCTGTTAACCCCTTCTGCTTTGCAGCCAGCCACAGCTCCAGCAGTCACCACATGGCCATGGCCAGCCATGAAGCCCTGCTGGCCCACCAGGACAGTGGGAGAGGGCCTCCAGTGCCCCAGACACTGAAGTATCTTGAGGATTCCTGCCCACCTCTCTGGTTGGTTGGCTGGCTGCTCCCAACCTCCTGTGGTGCCCTCAAGCCTCCTGGTGTGATTGTCTGAGAAGCATCTTTGCAGTCCCCCATCTCCCTTACCGACTGCTCTCAGGGGTGGGCTTGGGGTAGCCTTCCACTGCTCCTTCCCAGACAGCGTTGGCTAGGGCGTTGCCGATGGCCGTCATGACCATGAGAAGTTCGCTAGGCCAGTCATCCAGGTCCAAGGAGCGCACACGGGACAGGTGGGTGCCCAGGTTGCGATGGATCCCAGAGCACTCAATGCACATGAGGGAGCCCAGGTTCAGACTTGCCCAGTCCGGATCTGAGGGCAGCAGGATCAGTGGGGGAGAGTTAATACCAGCATGGACTCACCAGCCTGCCTCCTATGACCCAGGAGACCCGTATTTGCAGGCACCTGCCCACCAAATCCCTTCCAAGCCTAGTGCCCCAGCAGCAGAGAGGCAAGGACCCCAGGCTGGTCAGTAAGGGATCATGGACCAGCGTGGGCAGATGGGTCAGCCCCCCCAACCCTGAAGAACGGGTCCACTGCAGGAGAGGACGAGACAGCCCCACAGAGTAGGACCCTTTGGGGTAAGAGAGGAGGTGGCTGGGGTGGAGTTCCCCTCCCCTCCCTGGGTGAGTGGCCCCACCTCCCAGTGCAGCATTTCTTACTTGGTGCATCGCAGTCCACACAGAAGCTGTTCCCACGTGCGGTGCGGACGGCCTGCATGGCCTGTGCATCGCTCTGGCTGCCCAGCCGAGCCTGAAACAAAATGCACGGGAACCCTGTTTACTCAAGGCCAACTGCCCTGCCACGTGTCCTCTCATCACCACCCCAAGAGCCCATCGGGGAGCTGCCAGCACCTCGCTCCAGCGGGCACCCCGTAGGCTCTGCTGCAGGAGGGGTGTCCAGCACAGGGGCTCAGAGAACAGGGTCCGGAGGGAACACCAATTTGTAGCCGGGTATGTGCCGGGGGAGCAAAAAGGCAGAGCTGTCCAAGGAGGGAGCGGACAGCACAGGATCCAGCCCTGGTGGGATGCAGAGAGCTCCGTGGGGCTGGAGCCAGGCTGGGGAGAGGACAGGGAGCTCAGAGAGGTGACAGGAAACCCAGTGGGGAGCAGCACAGTCCCAGGAATGGGATTCAACCCTGACCAGGAGCAAAGGGATCAGTAGTGGATCCAGCCTGGACAGAGAGGGAAGCCTGGGACAGGGACAGATGCAGCAAAGCAGATGCCAGAGAGGAGGGAACAAAGCAGAACTCAGCCAAGGCCTCTTACCTTATTTTTGCTGCTCTCACAGCCCTGCAGGCTGGCCAGGATCTGACTCTCGATAGCCTGGACCCAAAGCTCTCGCTCCTCTGACGTTGAGGCCTCAAAGAGCCACGTCTGGCCCGTCAGGGACACGATAATGAACTCAAATGGCTCATCTGGTTCTGGAAAAGAAAGGTATGCCATGACATGGGTCAGGGAAGGAGGGGGTCTGCTGGCCTTGCAGGGAATGAGCACACAGACAGATCCCTGCAGGCCACCGCTGTGCCCGCACATGGGCATGATTGCTTGCAGCAGTGGTCCCCAGGAGGCTGGGACAGGGAAGCGCAGACAGAGAGTGCCTGCAGGGAGGAACCAGAGCTCTGTGCCAGCCCATCCCTCCTGCTGCTCACACAGCCCCCTGTGTGCCAGCTCCACTAGCGTGGGGTTGCCCTTCCTTCCACACACGAACATCCGTAGCCTCGTTCCAACCATCCCAGGCCAGGAAACCCAGGAGGCTGTGGCACCGGACTCCTGGAAGCTGCTTGCATCCTGCTCTCCATGGCCTGCATGTCCCACCCTCGGAGAAAGGGTGACTGCTGACCTCTTGAGCAGTGGGATCAGCTCCTTCACAGAGCTGGTGACCCCAAACAGCCCCATCACCCCCCGAGGGCCCACAGAGCGCTCAGTGCCTGCCGATGAGTGGCTTTATGTCCTGGTTTTGGCTGGGGTAGAGGTAATTTTCTTCCTAGTAGCTGGTACAGTGCTGTGTTTTGGATTTAGGATGAGAATAATGTTGATAACACACCGATGTTTTAGTTGTTGCTAAGCAGTGCTTACACTAAATCAAGGACTTTTCAGCTTCCCATGCTCTACTGACTGAGAAGGCTGGAGATGCACAAGAAGTTGGGAGGGGGCACAGCCAGGACAGCTGACCCAAGCTGGCCAAAGGGATACTCCATACCATATGATGTCATGCTCAGTATATAAACTAGGGGAAAGCTGGCCAGGGGGTTGCTGTTCGGGGACCGGCTGGGCATCGGTTGGCGGGTGGTGAGCAATTGCATTGTGCATCACTTGCTTTGTATATTCTTTTATTATTACCATTTTATTTTATTTCAATTATTAAACTGTTCTTATCTCAACCCACGAGTTTTTTTTCACTTTTGTTCTTCTCATTCTCTCCCCCATCCCACTGGGGGAGGAGTAAGCAAGCAGCTGTGTGGTGCTCTGTCACTGGCTGGGGTTAAACCACGACACTTTAGAGGGAGAGAGCCCTGCACACTGAATCAGGAGATGCAAGGAAGGTGCTTGCGGTGGACTCAAAGGCAGCTCTTCACAGTCCTGTGCATCGAGAAGGAGCATCATCGCCAGCTGAGGAGCGCAGCAGAGCGGGGATCCTGCTCAGGAAGCCCTCAGTGCCTGGGCGCTCCACAGACCCTCGTGACAGGGCACAGCTGCTGTTTTCCCATAGGGAAGCACTAAGTCACAGAGACCAGGGCAGGAGCTATGAAGAGGCAAGAGCAATGCCGTTCTCGGCTCTGGCACCTCTCAGTGCCCTGCCAGGCAGGTGGCCTCTGGCTCTCAAACCTGGGAAGCTGGTGGCCATGGGGGGTCCCTGGAAGCTGGCCAAGCAGAGCTGCCTCCATGAGGCATGTGGATGGCAGCAGGGAAGGCAGCAGGGATGCGTGCCCAGCAAAGTGCCCAGGAGGCCAGGGCCAGGCGACCTGCTCCTCAGGCACCTCAGCTGCTCCTCTGCACAGCACCGGCATCTGTGCCCCACAAGCAACCCCAGAAGATACAGCCTCAATATTAAAGCACTTCTCTGGCTGTGAAACACATGGTGACAAATTCCTGACTTTCTGTCTTCAGAGAAGATAGTTTTGGTGAGCTCCAAGGGTCACGCAGATCGCTAAGCACTTAGAGGCTGGATACAAATGGAAGCATTAGCATCCCTACAAACACAGGCTGCTTGGTGGGTTTCCAGGGAGGGTGTCAGAGCATGGGCACCTCTGCGCTGGGTGGCAGAGCCAGCAGCAGCGAGACGGGGGACAGTGAAAACGTGTGAAAGCACCTCAGGCCACCTGGGCCTAAGAAAACGGCCCCAAAAGAACCAAGAGCCTGCTGAAAAGCAAGGCTTAAAATGTGGTCTCCCCCTCTGGCTACTGCTGTGATCGCTGTAACACCCTCCCAGTCTGGGCTGCTGGGGCTGGGCTCTGTCCTGGCCAGCCCATGCCACCGGCTGTGCCAAGTGGGTGCACGGGCCTCAGATTTACATGGGGTGCCCTATCTCAGCTTTGCACCCCAGTGCATTTACCTTTTATTGCCAACTTCAGTAGTTAGTGCAGTAAATGACTTAACTAAGCGGGGCCTGAATGGAATGACTAATAAACGTTATGTCACAGCACACGCTTCAGCTCATAGCAAAATGATTTGTAATTACCTAATTAGCGTTATGCAAATAACACCCTCATCTCCATAATGTGCCTTCCCAGCTCTCTATTAAAAGCAGGGAGTCAACTGCACAGCTCCAGAGACAGCAAGGAGGCCGAGGGGCCCAGCCTGGTCCACAGCAAGGCAGAGCTGTGCTGGCCTCCAGCCTGGCAGGGTCTGTGCCTGCCAGGGCAGACACAGGGAGGTGAGCGGAGGGGGTCTGGAGAGGATCCTCTCCTCTGCCCAACTCCCCCCACAAGCTGTGGCCAGAGGATTTTCTTACTGCGGAGGGAAGCAGCAGGAGGGCAATGACTGAGAAACCTGCTGCAGCCTGCAGCACCCCAGCAGAGCTAATGAATGGGTGCAGAGGCCACCAGCCGGGTCCCACCAAGGGCATGGCCAACCTCAGCTGCTGCTGGGCCACCTGGCACCGGCTGAGCAAGGCTGTGTCCACAAACACTCTCAGAAAATGGATGCAGCCACAAGAAGTCTCCTTGAGGAAAGACAGCTCTGATGGGGATGGCAGGAGAGCACAACCCTTCCTCTCCTGCAAGTGCTCTTTCCAGGCTCTCACTTCCTTCAGAGGCACCATTATCTGCATTAACAGGTACCGGACACAGCACCCAACTCTCTGCTTACCCCAGAACAACCTGAGGGTAAAATGCCACTCCTGCTACTGTGCCATGTGGAGAGTGTCATGCTACTCACACAGCAGGCTCAGGATCTTGCATTTCATGGGGGTTAAAAGTGTGAGTGACATCTGGTTGGAAAGATGCCTGCCCTCTGCTATTGCTGAGAGCACCCCATGGTGTGTCCTGCATAGATCCCAGCAGCAGCCATGGGGGCTTGGAGA